ATCGATCCGATTATCATTTTGCTCGAACTTGAGACCTGAACTCGGAAATTGGAGCGACACGCGAACTTGAACAGGATATGTCATGAAGCATATGATTACACGTGTTCTTCTCACTTTATCCTGCGAATATTTTGAATACTACAGCTTCGTACAGGAAGTATCAATGTCAACATTTATAAAGTCGAGATATTAGCACGTGAAGGCGTATAACAAAGTGCAGCTGCATTCCCTATACCGAAATATCTTTTACGTTGGATCGTAAGTACTTATTGGTTTTCGGGACAGTGTACGGAACGATAATCTATCTATCAGCGCATATGTACCCTCTGGACTGGGCCCCTTTCATGGACAATCGACCAATGCTCGCTCCTTGTACAATATACGAAGGGTTTCAAGTATCCACCTTTACCAGGCCTCTAAAACTCGACCTTCGATGCTCGAATCGTGTTCCTACATTACAGTACCAATTCACTTTCCACGGAAACAATTCTCTCGATTCTATTAAATTAAAAAGTAAACTACGAAGAACGGTTTTGAAGTTCTGAATTAAAAATCTTCATAATTATTAAATACAAGAGTGATATTGATGATTCTGATAAAATTGATTTTATGCTGATGGAAAATGTCCGTACCATGACGAAGAGCATCCTTGAATTACCCCATATAAAGTGGACATGTGATATTAATCTACTGCGGACTTCTAATCACCGCGTGTAATGAATAGCTGTAAGAAAATATATCTTTTCTTTAAAAAGAATTCGACATATTTCACAACGTTCTCGCAGGAATCATGAGACGGCTCCTTTTGAAACGAAATAACGATCTCCTGACAGAGAATGTAACTTTCTCTAAAATTACTAGGTTCAGGGCAATCGAAAGCATTCCATAGAGCTAATTCACCGTGAAAGTCAATTATCTAATTTCATCCGTAACGTTTCACCGCGGATGCATCGGTGTAATTTCTTATGATTTTTATGTCGGATCTCTTTTTCTCATCATGAATCTCTACCAGAGACGCCTCTTTAATTGTAGTAGTGTCTGTGCTGCACGATTCTAACTGATTGAGGATAATAAATCCCCTGTAACTAAAAACAACCAAGGACCAGTTGTTAGTTGTTTACCAGAGATGAGATTACTGTTTCGAAAAGTTCGAAGACCTCTTTCGGTTGAAAGTAATGATTATATCGCCTCGTCTTGTTAGAACAAAATTCTTGGATGATGATTATAGCATTGGGCTGTGTTCTGTTTGGCGTGTCATGTTTGGCGTAATTATATAATTAAATTGATGAATCGTCTTCTCCAGTTTCTACTGTGCTCATCTATTTATAATAATTTACTGAGACGCAGTGGTCTGTCGCACACATATTTACTATTGTTAAGACAGAACGTGTTGAATTTCGTGCAGACCTGCAGAGATAATCACATCACAGCCTCTTCCCAGTGGCTTGTCCCGGTGTTTGTGTACCTTCTGGCGCTCTCAATTAAATAAACTCGCTGTTAGACTCGCTTCATACAAAAGTGCCGCAGAGTTAAGGTCAGTAGGTCGGCGTCGTATGAAATGAAATGTACGTATTCAGTCTGACTGAATTGCACCAAGGACGAGACGGGTTAATAATGCATGCGGCGTGTATGTTTGTTTCTTCTTTCATTTGGCTTATAAATCTTGTCCATCGAGCGGCGTGTCATCCGTGACTAGGATGCATAGTCCCCTTCGACTCTATTTTTCTCCTCTCGACTCGTGGTTGCTTTGATGCACCGCGAATTGATATCGAATACGGCCGCAACCAATCAATGAATGCAAGCTGCAGAACGTTTTTTGTTTGATTATTGATTGATGCCCGCATTCATGGTCGTTTTGAGAAGAATTGGATTTTGATATAGGTTCGAGACAAAATTTTTATTCGTAATCTATCTAGAATGTTGCGTTTAGCTGTTATACTATTCAATAACATAAAAGAAGCAGTAATTCAAATCCATCATCCAAACTGGCAGTTATTCACCGAACGTCTGAAGGGAAATGCGGGAACAATTAAATTAATTTACGGGTTTCCTGGGAAATAATGTAACCGAGATTTCGAGATAGATATTCAGAAATCTATGGAAAACGATTCGCGACGCGCCGAAAGTAATGGAAATAATGCAGGACTCGTAATAACGCGTAGATACGAAGTACGTGGAACGAAAACAGATGGAATAGGAGAGCGCCTCATGAATATGAATTTGCTAGATCTCAAGCGCGGTAAGAGATAGTAAAAAAAAAAGGGAACAGGTAAAACCGACGTCGTTGAAGCCTATTTAAACTCGTGCCGGAGACATTATCGGCTGGCGCTTCGCGTATCGGGAGAACCGGTTGCAAGCTGATGTCCAGCAACTTGTTGACAGGCCACCTATTACGCGCACACTGTCTCTTTATCCTATTATTTTCGGTCGAACGATGATGAACTCGTTTGATGGCGTATCTTGACGTACTGATGTCACGGCCAGGGAACTTGTCGCCTCTAATCCGATTCGATCACCGATTACCACGAAAGTACTTTCAAATATGTACATACATACTCAGTACTATTACTTTTATCTTACTTAATGTTTAACTAAAATAGAAGATATCTGACAAACTAGCTACTTTACATTCATTGTCACATCCTGTGTACATGTTTAGTAACATAAATTGTAATCCGTTTAAACATCTTCCAAAAGGAAATAGCTTACATCATAGAAATCGTTAATACTTTTTCTATTAAATCGCATTTATGTGGGACGTACTCCGACTTTGGAGTATAAATAAATGTACATCTAGAGATTCAATAAGAGATAGCTCGTTTTCTAAGCTAATTAAATCACGAGCGTCGTTCAATAAAATAGCTTTACTAATCGAGCAACTGGAAATAGAACGTCGGAAAATTCTCAGACTAATCAATAATATACAGATATCGGCACAATTCTAAACAAAGAAGTATCTAAGTTTAGTGAGTCCGTATAATAAATTTGTTAGAGAACATCGTTTTCGAATCGATAGACTCTTGGCTTGGTTTAGAAACAGCCTGGGATTTTATTGCCATTCCAGTTATTCAACGTGCTCATCCGACCATCACCAGTTCTAACGCACAATGCGGTACATCTCTGTCAGATCAGAGGTGTTCTTTTCGATCGTTTGATCGAACAATGCATCCACGGAAACGCTATGCCGGGCCGGAAACGTTTTGTTGGACGATCACAAGATATACGTACTGGTGATTTGAATTTAACGCGGAAAAACGAATGATTATTTTAATTAGAGGCAGATGACAGGTTCATATATCTCTCTAATACCGAAAACAGAATTGTCAGAACTTAGTGAAATAATCTATTAGACCGTTGCCAAAAATTCAAGATCAATATTATTAAATCTGGAGTATAAGGTTGCGGAATTCAATTTTTCAAACGAAATTGATCCCGGGCGTGAGTGAATATCCTTTACACAAAGCGAAAAACACAGATGCTCTTTTGTCCCCTTTAACTAAAGCGTCACGCTTTTGTTCAGCTTTTTACGCAACACAACAAAGAGGGTCCACCTCTCTTGTGATCCCTAATCTCTTTCTAGGCAAAGTGGATTATGGAACGGTCTCAGCAATTTGGAGCTATCCCAAAAATCAACAACCGACCGTTCCAAACCATTTTATTGATTTTTCTAAACATGTGTGTACGTAGAATATCTGAGTAATTTTCGTTTGGGGTGATACAAAGCGTTACTAATTTGTAAAACAGTGCACGATTTACTCTCTCGTAGAGAGGCTTGTGTTCACGAATCATTTGAGACGGCAGTCAAGCGAAATTCCCAAATGAAAGAACAAGAGTCAAAGCCAGCAGCGTTATAAAATAAATGTATTATCACGTAAACGGATATGCCACGGAACCGTTACAGTAACTTGTACTCAAGATATAATGTACCGTGTACGGTCCGAGCTAACCGTTCTCCAGGCGAGCATCTTTACGACTTAAGTTTTTCCTGATACACATCGCTTTTGTAACCTGCTAATGAAGATTGCAGTTCCGTTGCAGGTTCCTATATTGAACCATAAATTGTTCTTCCATCGAGATAATTATAGAACTACTAAAATATGCGTATATCAAATGTATTACTAAGTTCTTTTTATAAAAAGAAGCTGATGTTATATAAAGATTGAATATTGATTCTATGAATGAATGAAGTTCTAAAAAAGAATGCCTTAGATAGAGGAAATACCTTGAAGCTCAATAGCAGAAAGGGAAAGGAAGGAAACAAAGCCAAATAAAAAAAAATGACCATGAGCACGATAGTGACGAAGAATTGTTTCGGAGCGATCGCGGATCTCTCCTGTAGTGGGTATTCACGCGCTCGTTCCGTTTCCTCGCCACTAACTGAAGCGAAAACACACGAAGCGAGGTAGCAAGCCGTAGATCCAGTTATACGCGGACTGTGTTAAAGATACGCTCTGTAAGCAGAAACATAATCGCAGTGAGGCAAGGTATTACTGTTACAAAAGTTAAGGTCGCCGTAAAACACGACAGAATCGTCGAAACGTTACGTAACACCGCGTTTAGAAACTGGAAACCGGATTTTCGAAAACATCAGCCGTGCCTTATTTTTCTATCTATCGTACTTATACTCTACGATATTTCATAAGGAAAGAAACGAAAAGAACCCGCTTGAACAATTCTAAAATCGTTCCTAAATGTTTTCAATTCGTAAAAGTCCTGTGCCAGGCGTTAGTAGCGAGTATGCGGCCATTAAAATGTTAACAGCGCACACGGTGTTAAATTTGTCGATATTTTTCCCCCTGCAGTACACGTTGCGCTACAGTATCTCGAGTTACTCCTGAATTAACATGCTGTATCGTAATAACGACCTTATTAGAGCTCGTCTTCTTCGTTTACCGTGTATTCAACCCACTTTGCATTAGATTTGACGCGCGATAAACCTAGCAGGCAAGCGGTATTTCTGTCATTTTTATTCACAATGGCAAAAAATGGTAAATTTACAGATGTCTTGGCAAAGGATCTACCTTGCTGTGGGACTTATTGGTGTCCTGCTGCTGCTGACGAACGCGGACAACAGCGTGCACATACACTCAAAGTATCAATTGATCACCTCGACTACCCTCAACTGGCTTCCTCGTGCTCACTACGATTCCTCGAAGGAAATTGTCATCGGCGGTTTCGAGAACGAAGAAACGGAAGGTATGTAGATAAAACTAGAGGAGAAAATTATATCTGACCAGTTTCATTAAAGATTTTAGCCAATAAAAAAAATATAACATGAAACTCGTTTATCATTTATTTGACAATTATATCTATATTCAAATTTAGTTTAACTCGTTATTAAACTGTGAACACATGCGCATTTAAGAGACTGTTAAGCTCATTAGGTTGTCGAAAGATTGAAGCACTAGATCTTCCAAGATTCCATTTAAAGGGAATGTGAATTTACACATACACATATTTGTTAATCATTCATTTCTTCGACTCGTGTATCAATTACACATACAACGAACGGATTTTAAGCCAACCGTAACCCAAGAGACTTTTAACAACGCGTCTCTCACACCCGGATTTCCGGGTGCGTGATACAATTCAAGCTCGCGTTAATTTCCCGCGCCGCTAATTGCCGCTAAGCATCGTCTCGACAGCATCTTGAAAGAGGTCCCGTGAATAAACCTTTTCCCTTCTCTACCTGGCCAGACAGTTTACTCATCCTAACAATACAGCCAGATACAATTGCTCCTCGTCATCCAACTCTCCCCATAGACGAAAAATACCCCCGTGTCTGCGAATGACATTCATACAGTCAGCGACAAAAATCTTTGCGTATTCAATAAACTTGGAACATTCAGAGCTATAGAATTGTATCTCGATAACTCGAATTCACAATTCTTTGAAGTTTAGAAAGTTACCTCTTATCAATTTCGAGATATCCAACGTGTTTGAAATCTGCCAGGTGTATTTACTCAAACTTTCGTGAACGACTATACATAAAGATCGACGAATATGTTTCGCAGAGGACTCGCTTAACAATCAGGCAGAGAAATCGGAGAGAAAGAGACCCCTGTACGTGTGCAGGGTGTTGCACACAACTGTCTGGGTCGCTGGTAGTCAGAGGGGTGACGAGAAACGATGCACCGTGACAATTCACGGGAACGTGCAATCGTACGAAAAATACGAGTTGCTTGAGAACGTGGACAATGCTGGTCGCGTCAGCTGGGTGTACTGGGATAAATTCAAGATGCCCCCTTTGGGCACCGTGGCCATGGAGAAGATGTTCATCGCCCGCGTCGCAGCCGAGCACGTCAAGGATTCGCCCGCGCCTAAATACACCCATTACATCGGCACCTTAACCGAGCAGTCTCTCGGAAGCATCAGCTACGTGAAAGACGTAAGTAATTGCTACGGAGTGAATTCCCTTTACGGCGGGAAGATCGCACAGAGGAGAGGAGATTGCACGGTTGCATTCGGTGGTTCTCTTAATACCTTGGAGGGTGTGGATTAAACCGACTGGGAAGCAGTTAAGGGGACGCGAGGGCGTTCTTTCAGCTGCGAACCTGCGGTTGAGAGGCATTTGGGATGGTTTCGCTGACGGGCAAAGAGGGTGAGCCTACGAGTTTTAGGATTTACGGTGAATCAATGTGGTCGGGGGTATTGGGATCTGTAGGAATTCGAATGGTGGAGCTTTGTACGCAGTGGAATTTTAATTGGATTCTTAGATCCATGCTAGAGTACCTTTGTATTCCAAAATACAAAATCTGTTAACGACAAGGCATTTCCTTTCTTCTTCTGTTCAGGATGGTACTGAAGGAAGCGCAAAGGCTGGCGAACTCCTCGTCGAGACGGAACCGATCTACTACGAACTAACGAAGGTTAAATTAAACTGGCCTAAGAAACGCGTGATCAAACGTACACCTCGCGTGTTAGGCGAGGCAACGATCACCAACGGTGGACCGAGAGCTGTGAACATGGCGCAAGCTTTCGGGTTCACGTACAAGTACTCCATGTACTGGGGTCAAGGTCACGCCATACTAAAAGGCTTAAACACATCGATAACGTTAACGAATGGCACCACTTTACCGAAAATACTGTGGGGCATGAAGGAATCCAATAATCGTACCGACGTGGTCACGTAAGTACTGCCTGTATACACTTTCTAATACTAATTTTGTCATCTTTTAATTCAAATGTAATGTAATACAGGGTTGACGTATTTTTGGAAGCCGGTACAGGAATAAACGTTACTCTGCGAGCCAATTACACAGACATGGAAGTACCCTATTCAGGCACGTTGATCTCCCACTACGAGGACGGGGAGACAAAGCGTCGCGTGATAAACGGCATACGCTCGGAGGAGAACATGTTCGACATAAAACCCGAATTCGGACCCGTATACTTCCTCGGCAATTACAGTCTAGTTCCTACGACCACTATGCCGCCCACAACGGAACCGAGCACCACCACCACCACGGCGTCACCGCCGCAGAACGTGAGCAAGGGCGTTCAGAAGAAGGAGCTGGAGCCGGAGAACGAGGATCACGATGAGAACATGATCGTGCCGCCGACGAAATCGGATATGTCGAACATGCAAAGCGACGACGGCGGCCCGTTGTCGCTGAAAAACAAGGTAGAAGCGACACATTCCGGCGTTGAATCGTCTTTGCTTAGATTAAACTGGTTGCTCGTGATCTCGTTAACCACGATCGTCCATAGAATCACGTGAAAATCATAAATAACAGAACCTAAGTCCTATCGTATAAGTCACAATAGTAATATATTTAAAAGAAAATCATAGTAGAGAAACAGTGTCCAGAGATTACCAAAAAAGCATAAAAAATAGCGCAAAAAAAGTCGTATAATAGAACAATCGAACTCGAGACGTTGCTGTAATTTCATACATAATAGCGGAATGGCATGAAATAAAAAAAGCTCCTTTCGTTAAATCGCTCTGATCGCGTCAGACTGCGATGTCAGCGCTGACATAAATGCTTGCCTTTCGAAGATGAAGAAAAAAGATC